TCTCTCTCTCTCTCTCTCTCTCTCTCTCTCTCTCTCTCTCTCTCTCTCTCTCTCTCTCTCTCTCTCTTGTAATTACTACTTTTTGTAAGTGTTGCAAGGAAAAATTTTTCGATTTCCATTCTCTATCATATTCATTTAAATTCGTTGCCTCGAGTTATTATTTTTAAAAGTTTACTGATCTTACGATTCAATAAATGTTAAATGTTCACAAGTATGAATTGTGTTTTCTGCTAGTGTTGCGATCGCGTCCTGAATGATAATGTAACGCACAATCCGCGCTCCGTCCTATATATACAAGTCTCATCGTGAGAGAACGATAACAAAATGACTTTGTGTAAACAACAGTGTATTATACGCGCCAATACAAACAAGCGAAATTATGTATGTGTCCACCAATTTGTCGCTACGAAATATTTAACGTACATAAGAAGATAAAAAAAAAGTTGAATATTCTATTCTATTCGTGTATATTTAACTGCTGATAGATGAGTATATAATAACTTTCTGTTTAATCATTTGATTAAATTACTCGCTTTTAATTCAAATACAGGAAAACTACGCTTGAATTCTGTGAAAAATTGTACGCGTGATATAAGACACAATGGAATCCCAAAAATCTACACGAAATATTTTGCTCTGATACATTTACGAATAGCCAATTGAGATCTGCGCGTGGCAGTAATTTTTTTCAAAGATATTTAGATGCAAATAGATTTCTCTTCGAATGGAGTTTTTTTTCTCAACTTAGATGTAACTTAAACATTGTGGTTTCCGGATCGAAAGCGTGCAATGATATAGGAATTGCCGACTCAAAGGATTCAAATAACGAGAAAAATAATTGCATCGTACGCGTATATAAAGAAGAAGAGATCCCTTACCGCTAATACGTGCAATTACGTTTCGAGAAGTTATGCGACGCGAAGCTACCCTACTCGCGAAGCTACCCTATTCGCACTTCTACCCTACTCGAGTCTCGTCACGCGAATGATAATACAACGTGCCGCGGTCCTGCGTACGCGCGAATAATAACAACGCGTGTCACGCGCCCTCCAAGGCCGTTGCCGTCTCGAGACATTCATGAAAACATTAAACGCACTGCTACCTACACAAAGATCACTATCATTCGGTACCATTCACATGCCGACCATTCAGTGAATAAATAACATTGTGATACACTACACCAGCGCTCGCAACGAAACGCACATTTCGAGCCGAGGCAACGCCTATTGTCTCCTGATTACTGAGGCCGAGCCGCCGATCATTGTGACCTAAGGGATGTCCCCGTTTCAGAAATACTGAGTATAACCCTTCCGCCAAACTATTAATAAAACATTTTTCAAAATTATAATTATTTTATAAACTTATTATTATATTAACTCATTTTCATATATTAAATATTAAATTTCCCATTATTAATGTATTATATGTGTTCCTTATAAGTCTTAAAAAAAAAGAAACCGCCATCAAAAATAGTACTTCATGAGCGATGTAGAAAACTATTATTAAAACTATTATATATTTTCTATTATTTATTTCTATTATTTATGTTACAATGTTATAAGGAACACAAATAATATATTAATAATGGAAAATTTAATATTTAATACATGAAAATAAGTTATTTGAAAAAATGTTTTATCAATAGTTTGGCAGTTAGCATGACAGATACCAGCAATACACATTTTATCTAACATTTTAACTACTGTAAATTATTTAAAAACTTTTAATGAAAATTTGAATTATTAATAAAGTAATTTATATTTATTTATACATATATGAAAAAAATGTTTATACGTATAAATTAATATATATTATCACTTCTTTTAAATTTTCTCGGAATCGTATATCTAGAAAAAAATATGAAATAATATAAACCTAATAAATTCAAAATTGCTGAAAATGATTGTAATAAATTTAAAAAACGAAATCATCACAGAAGAGCGTGATGACAATCCAAATTTTTATCTTGGTTTATTGAAATTAAACTTCAGCAAGCTCTTAATGATTTTGTATTATTTATATGTTTTTAACGAGTGATACTGCGTCTATTACATGGAAGATATTTGATTTCGAATTGAATCAATATTTTATTAATATTCGTTTATTAATTCCATATATTTCTTATAGTTTTCAGCGGATGAGGAACTCAGTTCTGGTGATTACGATCTCAATTTGTACGATGGTTCCGGCGACGCTGAATTCAATAAGGTAGACATCTGCCACAAATTTGGCACCGGCTTCGCTAAATTGATGCTATTGACAATATACGCACTAACTAATTATCCGTTGTATCACCACTAACTTATAAGCGTAATATGAAGCTTGAGTAATTTACTAATGAGGTTGTTTCGTGTGCATGAACGCCATCGTACGTGAAAGTAATCGTTTAATGAGAAAATGACATTTATAAACATGCCCAAAATCTTTAGCCTCAAGTATATTCTAAATTATAAAAAAATACATATTAATTATTTTTATTTTTTTCTTTATTCTCTACACTTTTTTTCAAATACTCTAAGAAAATTAACAAAGATTATTTTAATTCGAAAGATGTCTTTGTGAAATATGAGATGACGATATAAAATCAAATATACTGCTTTAAAATACACTTCATGATACCGTTTATGCTCTCACTTTAGAATATTAATATAATCATGATATAATCAAGTCTTTATTTTATTAAATTAACATAATTATAATATATTACGATGTTTTCCTTAAATACTTATTTAAAAGTTCAATTAATGAATAATTAATATATTAATTATCTCCAGTAAGTCGTATATGTAATAATTACTTATAACAATCTAGCCAATTTATTGATTTCATTTGCTGATAACAGTATGGTTTATATCTCTCAAATTAACTAATTCTTATAATGGAACGAAGTTTTAATGAGAATTTTCTTAAAAGTTGTCGATCATTAGGAGAAAGCGGGGCAAGGAGAAGGAAGAAATGAGAAATTAGGTTACGCGGATAATCTCGTAAATACCGAGAGGATAATCTCGAAAATTCTGTTAGGATTTCGCATTGGCAACTTTGCTTACCCTAAATGTCCTGCCGCCACTCCATCTTTGCTATTCACTCACAGTCATTACGAAGTTGGACGTGATCCGAATGAAATTTGAACATACTTGCGAAACAATGCGCGGGAAATAAATTATATCAAGCCGCCAAATTTGATTTCAAAAGAAACACGAAAATGAGGTTTCATCGTAAGTGATTAAAATAAGTAAATTAAATTAGAGATTCAGTTGCTCGAATCATTACTCAAAGTCATGTATATTACCGATTCACGTAATCTGTTACAAATGAAAGATCGATTTTACGTAAATTGATCCTCGGAAGTTGATCTCGATAAAAATGGCTTGTAACTAATTCAATTGATCGGCTTGGAAAACGATTTTCGAAAACCGATTCGTTCTTTTCGACTTTTCGACAGTCCATTAGTGCTCGAGTCCTAAACTCTATAAAACTCGTACATGACGCAAATGTAAATCGAACATGCGGGGAGAAGAAGAAGAACTATCTTTGATATACTCCTGGGAAC